GTAGTTTAATAAAATTTTGAATATAAGACACTAAAACCTTGTGTCATGCGCAGTAAAGGGTACCTGTGCCGAAAGAGCTTTTGATTTTGTGAAATATTCATATTTTTTATATAAAATATTCACATCTTTATAATTGATAATATTTTAGTCTTCCAACAGTAAACTTAAATAAAACCTCAGGATCCCTAATCACCTCCATGCATCACTAAGAACTATTATCTTTTGTGTACTTCCATTAAGTTTTTGCAGGTCATAAGCCTTGAAAGAAAGCTCTCATCCCTACAAGTGTCAAAGTGTGTTGTGCCATCTTATGATGTAAACATTAATAGACTATAAGCCTCTACCAATAGGAGGGCAACACATTCTCCATGCACAGTAATCCCCATCATGAGTACTGGCACATTAGAACAGACTCATTCTGTCCTTGGTACTGCTTGTTTTCAGACATGTTTTTTTGCTTAAGATTTACTGGAATTTTTGTGATTATTTTAACCATTTGTTACTGTTCATCGTATAGTCTTTCTTTCTTCAATTTTCTCTATTATACAAAAGAATGACACAACTTTAAACTTGGAAATTTTCTTTCCCTCCATCTACTCATCTTCTATGTTCATTCCGATGGTTCATTTTCATTTGAGGCTTTCCATCATAACCTTATCTGATTTACTGGGGTAATTTGCAAGTACGTTTTCCACTATGCCTTCAGTTTTATACCATTCATCCCAGTTACCTTGGTTTCTTTGTTTTTGGAGTGTACTACCCACTCAAGTTTATGTCTACTCCTGTCTCTGTCCCTACTATCACTTTCAGTAACTGATTGGGTCCATCTTCTGTCCCAAGGTGCAGAACCATTATTCAGTCATGCCCTCAGTCACTGGAGTCTCCATCATATGACAGGGATCTGTCCAATTGATCCAGGGCAGGTTCCATGGAGGTTGTCACCTTTCAGCAGTTTTCTTTATACCAGAATGACAGGTTGTGTGATGGGAGAGTTCATGGAGGTGTGGCACTGCTGGTTGACCAGCATGTACCCACCTTGTCTGTGCCACTCTATATACCCTTGGAGGCTGTATCTATGTGGGTCATACCATCACTGTTTGTTCTTTTTACCTGTCTCCAGGAGAGACTTTTAATCAGTCAGACCTAGATGCCCTCATAGAACAGTTGCTGTCTCCCTTTTTCATCTTGGGAGACTTTAATTAACACAATCCCCTTTGGTGTGGTGCTGATATTGATAGGAAGAGTTGTTCTGTGAAGTATATGCTCTCAGATCATGACCTTTCTCTCTTCAATACTGGTTCTTTTACCCATTTTCATGCACATAGTTAATCTTTTACTACTATTGACCTATCTATTCCCCTTCACTTTTTTCTCATTTATCTTGGAAGGTTAACAGTGACTCATGAGGCAGTGATCATTTTCCCATCATTTCGAAGGAGATTGACCATGGTTGATGCCACCTGGCCCAAGTGCCATGGTGGAAGTTGGAGCAGGCAGACTGACTCTCCTGCACTGCTCTCTTAGAACTAGATCCTGCTGTTGTTAGTCTTCCATCTATTAACAACTGCATGGAGGCAGTAGCTGATTATAGCTGTTCATTCTATCCCAAAATCTCAACCTGTTTCCCATGGTATCCTCGTCCATGGTGGTCTCCTGCCTGCCAGCAGGTACGGAAGGCTCAGAAACAGGCCTGGGATATGTTTCACAGATATTCCACTTTTTTCAACTGCCAGAAAGAATCTTGGATTAGGTTCACCACCAGCATATCTTCTTCCACTAGTTCCAAAGTTGTTTGGTACAAGATTTGGGAAGGTCAAAGGTAAGTATGCTTCCCATCTCTTTTCTATCTTGCTCTCCAATGGCCAGGAAGTTGCTGATGTACAGAACATTGCCGATATTCTTGGGGAGAGCTTTTTTTTTAGTTCTCGCCCTGTTTTCATGGATATTCAACAATGACTGGCCCATCTTTCTGGATACCTGGCCATGTCAGTATTTGCAAGAAGAAGCTCACTGACACCACAGCTATGTCCATCTACTTTGGTGCTGTCACAGCTATGCCTATCCCATATATGGACTATTGTCTTGTGATCAAGGCCCAGCTTTGTGCCAGTTGGCAGTCGATTTGGGGTGAGCAACTTCACAACAAGCTTTTCCAGATCAACCCTACTGTTGTTTCCATAAGGATCAATGGGAGGAAGCCTTGGCTAGGCTATGCATTGTCACAGTTTTTTAACCCATAATTTTCTTTTACTCGCATCACAATTTTCCACATTTTATTTTCATTCCATTGTTGTGAACGTCATTGGTGGCACCATTTTAGACACACATTTTCTCAGGGTTTACCCCTGATATT